TTCTCTGAGCACTGTCCAGAGCCCAGCCCTGTGCCAGGTAATATGGGAAGGGGGAGCAGAGATGGGTGAGATGTGGTGCCAAGGGCTGACTTAATTCTGCTGGGAGATGATCTCTGATTATTGTTGTTCTCAAGGTACAAAACATGTTTTAGTCCTGTCTCTGTTGGTTATAAGTGGCAGAAACCAAAATCAAATTAGCTTATGCAAAAGTAGGAGGCAATTACTTGGCTCATATCACTCGAAAGTGTAGAGATAGCATTGGCTTTAGGCATAGTTGGATCCAGGTGCTCAAGTGATGTTTCTAGAACTTGATTCTGCACTCAGCTGCATGACGAAGAACATGACGAAGAACATACCATCTGGGGCTGCTGCGGTGTGAGATGCCACTGACTGTTGCTAAGGTGTCTCGTGGAGCCACACCCCTGATTTCCAAATCTTAGCCTTGTCACCTCCAGGACTCAGAGCAAGGCCATCACATGAGACTGAACTCCCTGGGCTGCACCTCCAACCCCAACCCGGAGGCCTCCTTCCCTTGCCCTAGCCTCCAGACATTGGGCAGATATCACAGGGAGAGTTCTGATGCTGCTCATTTTGTGTGTACATGCTCTGATCTCTGGGTCCGCCTGGATACAGGGACCCAGGGCAGAAGGATCAGCCCTGCCTCTTAGCATCTGCCACTCACCAGCTGTGTGCCCTGGGGTAATGGCCTACCTCCCTAAGCCTCAGTTTCCTCATCTGTAAAGAGGAGATAATCTTTATCTCCTAGGATTGTTTGGAAGATTAAAGGAAGTGATACATATAAAGCACTTAGCACAGAGGATAAACCCTCAATATGAGCTACAGTTACTACTCTGCTGCTTTTATGCTACCAATGGAGGAAATTATATTTGCAGGGTTTGGACTTTAGAAGGAGAGCACTATCGCTAATAGCTACATTTGTTGTATAGTTACTATATGATAGGCACTTTACATTTATTCCTTACAACAACTTTTTGTAGATGAGGACACCAAGGCTTGAGAGGCTAAATTATTTACCAGGACACACAGCTCAGCAGTGATAGCGCTGGCTCGGCACAGGTCTGCCTGAACCTAAGCACTAACCACTGCTCTGCTCTACCTCTTCAGAATGGTGTGTGGAGACAGGAAATAAAAGGGGCCTTATTTGATACTTTTAAGGTTATTTGCCTCAAATCAGTGCTTTGAGGGGAAAAGAGGAGGAATATGGCATGGAAAAAAAATGCTGGGGAATGACTTACATTTTAAAAGTCAGTATTTTTCTGAGTGGTGGGCTTATGAATAATATTTCTTGTTCTTCTGTATGCTTCAGCTGTTCTAATTTTGAGTACTTACTTCTTCGTGGTGGGCGGGGATATAAAATTCTACCCTGAAATAGGAAGCCTGTTTTTCCAGTTTGAACAGCTATAGGGCTAATAATCATGATTTGACCAATTTTCCTCAATTTGCAACATTTCTCAAACCTCAAATGAAGCCTCTTCATCTTGGGACCCAGAACCAGGCTAAGACTTGCTAGCTGATATTCTGCCTAGTCCAGCCCATGGATTGAGGTGCGGTAGAAAGGACTGTGAGCTCGGAGAACTGGGCTCTGTTCCTGGCTCTGGCACTTACGTGCTGGGACACATTGGGTCAGTTACTTAATCTCCCTCAGCCTCAGTTTCCTCTTCTGTCACATGGGTACAATAAAAGCCTACCCTTCCTACCTGATTGGGTGGGTGCAAAGGTTAATGATACTAATAGATGTGAAAAGTGGTAGTCCCATCCCCAAGTGGATGGAAATCCCACAGACAGCAAAGGGTCTAGAGAGCGTTCCCAGGGTAGTGGCAGGGCCTGCTGGGCCAAAATGCAGCATGAGAAGCTCACTACACCGGCTTCTGGGGAAGCATATTATGTCACAGGGGCCAGCAATTCCCACTTGCACCTCTCCGGTCACCCAGAGGGCCCCACCCTCTTAGGCCAGTCTGGGTGACAGTTTTTCAGTGGTTGTGCTAGTGTTTACAATGTATGTCTTGAATTATGACATTCTACTTTTAAGTAATAAATACTACTGTATTCACATGTAAGAATTTTTCTATTATATATTACCATTTTATCCCACTCATCCTTTGTGCTATTATAGTGTAAGTTTTACTTTCATGTATGTTATAAACATCATAATACATTTATCAGCCTTTTTCTTCTCTTTGATTTGGATAATTTCTATTGCTGTGTCTTTAAGTTCGCTAATCATCTATGTGTCTAATTTGCTGTTAATCTGCCCAGTGAAATTTTCATTTTAGATAGTGTATTTTCATGGCTAGATATTCCATTTTGTTCTTCTTTTTTTATCGTCTTCCATTTCTCTCTTCATTGTTCATGGTTTCCTTTAATTTCTTGAAAATATTTAAAATAGATGTTTTTAAATCCTTATTTGTAAATCTCATCTCTGTCACTTCTGAGTCTACTTCTACTGACTGATTTTTCTTCTAGGTCACACTTTTTTTTATGGGTCACACTTTCCTGATTCTTTGCACATTCAGGAATTTTTTATTGGATGCTGATGTTATGAATATTATATTGTTGAATGTCTAGAGATTTCGTTGTTCTCATTTAAAGACGTGGACTTTGTGAGGTAGTTAAGTTACTTGCAGGTTAGCTTGATTTTTTTTTAAGCTTATTTCTAAGCTTTGTGAAGGCATATCTACAGTAGCCTTACTCTACGGCTAGTTTAGCCCTTTACTATGTCATGTGCCTTCTGAGCATTCAATAGGACTCTCCACTGTCGTTCTTTGGAACTTGAATATCCCCCAGCCTTTTTCTTTCTTCTTCTTCTTTTTTTTAATCCCCCAGCTTTGAATGGGCTCCAGGAGGTGTTCAGCTTATGAACTCCCCGATACTTGTTCTTTCTTTGGTAGTTCTTCCTTGCCCAGATTTTGGAACCTCACCCTAACCAGTCACAGACTCAAGAGAACCCCTGTGGAATCTCACACTACCCAGCTACAGACTCAAGGGAACCCCTGTGCCGAGGTCTGGAGCTCACTCTTTATGTAGTTTTCTCCTCTCCAGTACTCTGCCCTTTGGATTCCAGCCGCCTCAGTCTGCCTGAACTCTCATCCTCATCCCTTCAGCTCTGTGAAATGGCTACATTCTGCTTGCTTTCTCGCTCCATGCACTGTGGTCTGGTGAACACCTCCAGGCGAAATCCCAGGCAATCTAGGACTCACCTCCTTGTTCTCCCCTCTCTCAGGGATCCCAGTCTTGCACTACCTATTCTCCAATGTCTGAGAACACTTGTTGCATGTATTTTGTCCACTTTTCTTGTCATTTACAGTGGGAGCTGGCTAGCAACTCCCTTTGAGATCTCTCTGGCATCGTGCACCAGTGGTCTGTACTGGTTGTATATCCCCTCAAGAGACTTTTATATAAATGGACTTAGGGCTAATAAAAGTCAACAAAAAAAAAAGCTGATAGTGCCATTCTCATCTGCTTCTCAGGGCAGCTCAGGATGAAAACCCACAAGCCAGTACCATGTCGGATTCTGCAACAGGAATCGTTAGTGTCCATCAACTGATGACTGGATAAATAAACTGTGTTATATCTACACAGTGGAGTATTATTCAGTAATAAAAAGGAATGAGCTACTGACACATGCTTACAACATGGATAAATTTGAAAACGTCATGCTAAGTGAATGAAACCAGTCACAAAAGATCATTTATCATGTGACTCCATTTATATGAACTCTCCAGAATAGGCAGATTTATAGAAACAGAATGTAGATCAGTGGTTGCTTAGAGTTGAGGTGGGGGGTGGGGAGTAACTGCTAGTGGGTCCAGGGTTCCTTTGGGGGAGACAAAAATGTTCTAAAATTAGATCGTGGCAATGATTGCCCAACCTTGTGAGTATGCTAAAAAAAAACATTGAATTATATACTTTAAATGAGTAAATTGTATGGTATGTGAATTATATCTCCATAAAGCTGATTTTTAAAAAGAAAAAAATTTTAGCAGTTTTCTCCTGTATGAAGGTAGTGACAGAATGGGAAGGGGCTGTGGTCCGGTGGAAGGGAGGTCTCAGCTGTCATGTTGGTGTATGTCCAGTTACAAGTGCGATTCAACCTGGGACTGAAAATGTGGCCACAGAAGACTTTACACAGTTTATTGAGGGATGACTGATGTTGCATGTCAGTATTAAAATTCACATGCTCTTTCTTGATTACTTCAGTTAAAAGAGGATTCTGGCAGTTTGGGCGTGACCCGAGCCTTCTAGCTCTCCCTCCTGCCCAGATCCTCGTCTACAGTGAGCACATGTTAAGTGGCCACCAGGGAGCGTCACGTGGCCTCTGAGAACGGTGACGGCCCCTTTGTGCCCTCCATGTCCCTGTTCAGATCCACTAGACCAAGGGGGGTTGTGGTTAAGTCCCAGCCAAGGCTGGGAGAGTAGGCACACCCCTTCTGTTGGCCTTTCTCTTGTCGAAGATGAAGGTGGTTATTTGTTCATTTTAAGTGAGCCATCCTGCCTTCACTAGAAGCACTATGGGTTTTCTGTGAAAGAAAACTGTATTATTCATTTGCAGACTTCTTGTAGGGACCTTCAACAGTATGCTTCTGCTTGTATACTTAAGTCAAGACCCTGAGCTTGCTTAAAATACTAATAACTGACATGCATTGAGAACTTACTGCGTGTGCCACTCATGTTCTAAGTGCTTACCAGTATTAGCAACACTTCAGTGACTAGTATTTCTTTCACTCTATATAGAATGTGAAAAGACTGCATTTCTTTTATCTAGTATTCTGTTTTTCAGATTATTTTTCAGTAATTCAGATAGATTTTTCCTTCAGATTTTATGGCATTCATGCGGCAACTGAGTAATTCAGCATCCCAGTGGGACCTTGCCCTAGCAGGCTCAGCCAGAGGGTTGGCCCCCGGACTTCGGATGCCGGCTGCTGCCTGTGCTGACTGAGGACAGCGCACTCATCAGGTGTGGTGTGTGTGGTTTTCTCTAGGATCATCCATGAAGACGGCTTCTCCGGAGAAGATGTGAAACAGTACAAGCCTGTTGTCTACAGCAACACCATCCAGTCCCTGGCAGCCATTGTCCGGGCCATGGACACTTTGGGCATCGAATATGGTGACAAGGAGAGAAAGGTAGGCCCCTGAGCCCATGCGCACAGTGAAAGGAGGGCACACCGCCTCCTCTTTGTAACGCCCGCTGCTTTAAAGGAACACGAAGAGAATGTGCTATATACACGATATATGGTGGCACAGTTGCCAACCTAAGCCGTTGTACCCCTCCACCTGGCAAAGTCACCAACAACGGCAGTAGCCGCAGAATACCTCGGTTTATTTTGCTGCTAAGAAAGTGTTGGTGACTGTTCCAAATTGGGACTGCCACAACACTATGTAAGGTGCCTGTCCTTGGGCAGTTAACTTGAACAGAAAAAATTTTATTAAACAAAATAGGCCTTACCTGCCCACCCTCTCCCCTCCTTAGAAGAACTTTCCTTGCCTTGTTGGGCAAGAGCAGCGGCCACTCGAGCTGACTGTCTTTCTTCCTTTCCACCAAGGCGTGTGTTTTCGGCCTCTCCTGGGTCAGTCTAAGGACCTAAGGGGCTCTCCCTCCTGTGGGAAGTCGATGTCCTAGAACAGAGACTGTTTTTCTCAGTTGAATTTCCAGGCATCTGATAAATAGTGAATGGAATAAATACTATACAAAAGCTTCTTATTTGCAAACATTTGCATGAACTGTAAGACTGAACTATATACAGCTCCACTGGCAAAGCTAAACAAAAGAAGGGAAGGAGATGAGAAAAAAGCCTCAGAATCCTATCCAGAAGCAGCTCCTTGTTCCCTGTTGGGATCCTGAATCCCAGTGATCCTCTCTCTGAGAACCTGGCCGTGGAGAAGGGGAGCAGGCAAAGCCTCCCAGCATTGGAGCCTCAGATAGAGAGCATGAGTCTCTGGTCACACTGTGTGATTCGATTGTACTTCATACGCATATTCTGTCTTCGCTAATCATTTCCCCCACAGAGGAAAACCATCCTGGTCGGCTCTGGGTCTGATAAACCATCTGTGACAGATAGCTTTAAATGTAAAATTTAATATTTTATGCACAAAATCCTAATTCCACGGGGCAGGGTCATCCTGGCTCAGGCATTAGCTCCTGCAGTACTGGGGAATCCGGTGACAACCTGGGGTGGGGAAGTCGGGCACAGGCAGGGGTTCTGAGCCCATCTGCTGCCCCTCCTGGAGGCCAAGTCAGTAAGCTGGCTCTACGGAGGAAGCGCGTCTCCCCAGGGAGCCTGGCTTTGGATTCGGTCTTAAAGCCAGGGCCTGTGGAAAGAGGAGAGGGAAACGGAGGGCGAGTTAGTTCTCCAGTCTTGCTTTCGTTAAGCATTTACTGTAGGCTTACGATGTGCCAGGCAGTGTGCCAGGTGCTGGGATACAGGAATGAGTACAGCGGGGAATGGTGTCCTGACACACCAGCCACTGAGAAAACACCTACTCGGATCATCAGACTTAGCCCAGATGTGCACAGTGCTTCATTCATCTTAATAATAATAATAGCAGCAGTGGGAATAAACATAGCTGTCTTTCACTGAGCATGCACTCGCTGCCAGGCACCGTGCTAAGCATTTTACATGGATTAACTCATTTTAATTAGCTTAGGCATTAAAGCCCAGAGCTGGTAATGCCTAGTCTGATCTTCAGACATGGCACAAGCCAAAGGCCTTTGGTCTCTTCGTCTCCCCTTGGCCAAGGAAGGAGCAGAGTGCCTGAATCTCAGTTAACGAGTTGGCAGACACAGTGCAAAAGGCACACCTCCTACACACACAGCACCCGAGATCTAACGAGAGTGTATGTGTTCACGACCGTGCCCACCTCCCAACCAACCCTTCCTTCCCAAAATCTCCCAAACTGATTACAATCCAGAAAAGTCAGTGTGACCTTGGGATGCTTTTCTCCTTCTCTTTTAGAAAATATTCATTGTTCCTGTGGGATTCCCCCCCCCATTTTATTATCTATAACAGAGAGATGATTGCTTGGGATTGCTGAAACTATATGTTAAGGACTATACTGCAGGTCCCTAGGAAACAGCGGCCCTTCTCTGGCTGTTTCTCTCCCAAGGGATTTCCCAGTCTAGTCAGCCCTCAGGTAGGAGGGAGGAGAGGGGGAAGGAAGACTGAGAGCAGCAAGTGGGGACTCCCTAGAGGGTCCACGGGACACGGCAGAGTCCAAGCCAATCCTGTTATGGCAGGTGGCACCCTGGCAGGCACCCGGCCCATCTCCAGGGCAACACCGGCTTATCAGGCATGATCTTCCTGGCTGGCAGAGGCCCCCCAGGCACTCGGGCACCCCCTCCCTGTGTTTTTATACCTGTGAGGAGCAGGAAAGGAAAATGAACCCAAGACTCAGCCCAGAGCAAGCGGGCAGCTGGAGAAGGTATTTCCTGGGAGCAGGCTGGCATGGATTAGCAGTTTGCAGGGCTGGGCACCGGAGAGTGACAGTTGATTCTCCCGTCCTACTGGGTGGACACGGAGGGCCTGAAAGGGCTGAAGTACCTGCTGATGTTGGGAGGCAGCTGGGAGCTTCCTATTTAGAGATGCAGGCTGCAAACAGTAAATAAATAGGTGACTGCCTGACCCCAGGCAATGGTAAGGGCTGTGAAGAAACAGAACAGGGGGATGCGAAGAGGCTGATTTGGAGGAGGGTGTGGGAGCTACCTATAGCGAGGGTGGATGAGGGGACAGAAAGCTCCAAACAAGCACCAAGGCCCTGAGGGAGGAATGGGCCTGGCCTGTGAGAGAGGATAAAGCTCTGTTCAGCCTGAGCTCCTGTAGGTGGTCCATTGTCGATGCCCAGACGCCAGGACCCCAGGGCTGGGTCTCCAGATTATTTCCTCTCTCAGGTCCCCAGAGGCTGCCCACCTGGGGGTCTGCCATTGGGATGTTGGGGTGTTTCAGTCTGCAAGGAAAAGACTTTCCTTCCTCTCTTGCCTTCCCCACCTCTGTCACCCTCCCCACCCAGCCCCTGCGTTGGCCAGCAAGCTTCGCACTGTCCATGCAGAAAAGCACCTAAAAGCTTCCTTGCTATACCTTAGTCTCAGCCACCAGAACAGGTAGGTGTCCCTGGCTTCTCCCTCAGCCTCTCTGTGGTGTGGACTCACTGGAGGCCACGTGATTGTGCCGGAGCCCAAGCCTGAGAGAGCCTCCACGCAGGGCAAACAGGCAGCGACCCCTTACATCAGTCTGTGGCTCCCACTGTGTCCCTGCCTCACCAGACCGTACACCCCTCCCCAAAGACACCACACACTCTCATGCCTCAGGCCTTTTCTCACTCAGGCCATGCTCTCTGCCTCTAGGGCCTTCTCTTCTTTTTCCCGTGCAGTGAGGACCAGCTAAGCTCCATCTTGTCCACAAAGCTTCCATTCCCCTTCCTGACCGAGACACTAACTCACCTTAGTGCTTCTCACTGAGTCCTTCATGCACTGGTGTGAAGATTGTTTATGCCTCTTTCCCTGAGCAGTGGGCCTTCTACCTCCGGGTGGTCAGAGCCCATTTGAGCAGCTATGAAAGCTGTGAGCCTTCCCTCTAGAACAAGCTACACACGCAAGTGACACATGAACACGTCTAGGAAATTCTGCATGCAATTTCAGGGGACTCTGGCCCCCTAAAAGCCCACCAGTGGACCCTAGGCTAAGAGCTCTGCTTTGGGAAAAACACAACCCAAACCGTGCTTTCCTCTAAACTCCACAACAGTCAACACCGAAGAGGACTTCTGTGGACAAACGTGGGGTTTTTCCCCACACACCAAGCAGCAGACACCAGCTACGTGTCTTCTAACTCAATTCTGACACTATCTACCTTGAGATAGTGTCAGATCCCACAGGGTGAGGGCTCAGTCCCCAAGACTGGCCACCACACTCCCCCACATCAGTTAACAAGTCTAGGACTCCAAAGCTTCTGACCTACAGCTTCAAGTTGGGGTTCCTATGACCCTCTCCCTCTTTGGGTTTGATTAATTTGCTAGAGCAACTCACAGAACTTAGGGAAGCGCTTACTTACGTTCACCAATTTATTATAACAGATATTACAAAGGCTACAGATTAAGAGATGCGTAGGGTGAGACACAGAGAGGCGTGAGCCTCCACGCCCTCCCTGGGTGCCACACCCTCCAGGAGCCTCTTCGTGTGCAGCTATCCGGAATCGGAACCCAGTCCTCTTGGGTTTTTATGGAGGCTTCATTACATAGGCATGATTGACAACCGCATAGAAATGTGATTGGACAAAAAGCCCATGATCTAAACCCAGCAAGGCCTGTCTGTTCAGATTCTTCCTGGCCTCTCTGTGCAGCATTCCTCCCTCTAGGATATGGGGCAGGACCCTCTCTGGAATGAAGGTCTTTTGACCGACAATCAGAATTAGAGTCCTGTGAAAGGACAGGAGAAGGTCAAAGAGAGAGATTCTATTAATATCTCCTGAGGCCTAAAAGTGCCCCAACATTATAACAAGGACTATGGGAGTTATGTAAGTCCATAGGAACTGTGGATAGAAACCAGTATATATATCACAACATCACAAACCTGTTCATGACTTAAGGTCTTCCGACTAAGACCTGTGTCATTTATCTTTGGGTCTCCTTCTCACCTTAGCAACAAGCACAGATGCTCAGTGCTCAGCACTTAGGTCTTCAGAACCCATCCCTTTAATGAAATGACATTTCTTTTTTTTTTCCAAGACAGAGTCTTGCTCTCTTATCTGGGCTAGAGTGCGGTGGCATCATCATAGCTCATTGCAACCTCAAATTCCTAGGCTCAAGGGATCCTCCCACCTCAGCCTCCCAAGTAGCTGGGACTACAAGTGTGCACCACTACACCTAGCTAATTTTTTCTATATTTGGTAGAGACAGGGTCTCACTATGTTGCTCAGACTGGTCCTGAACTCCTGGCTTCAAGCGATCCTCCTGCCTCGGCCTTCCAAAGTGCTGGAATTTACAGACATGAGCCACCATGCTCAGCCTGGAATGACATTTCTAACTTTCCCAGTTCTGAGAGAAAAAAAGGAAAAGTACCTATAACTTCATCCCTACATGAACAGCTATCGATTGAGTACCTACTGTCTGTAGGCTTTGTGCTAAGCCTTGTGTGA